TTTCTGTCTTTTTTTGTCTCTCTTCTTTCTGCAAGGTCACAACTGGCGATGCTAATGATGCGCTGTGTGTTGTTTGTATGTGCGCTGTGTGCGTGGTGCGCCTGCGGGTGTGCTGCAAACGAGGAGGGTACCACTGATACGGAATGCCTGCAACTTACTGATAAGAGTAAGTGTGCTATGTCCAAAAGCTCCAGTTCTAGCAATGATGGTACCGGTGGTGGAAGTGGTAACGTTTCACAGGGAGATGTGACTCACACTGCTCTCGGTGATGCTAATAACGATAGTAATACAGAAGTGTGCGAAAAGACGATTGCTGATGCCCAGAAGTGCAACTCAGCACCGGCTTCCGGTGTTGCTGTTCCCTGCCCGAAGGATGTGCCTGAGAACTGCCCACAGCCCAAGGATCTTCTGGCGGGTGGGACTTGTAGAGAGAATGGTAAGCCTGGCCCCTGCACAGAGTCTGGCAAGTCAGCACCTAAGGCTGCTCGTCCTAATAGCGATGTCCAGAGTTCCCTGGAACTTCCGAAATGTGCCGGCGCTGAGGATTCATTGGATAAAGAGGTAAATTGTGTAAAACTTGTGTCCCCACCAGTGCCTCAACCTCAGCGTCACCCAATGCCACTGCGCGAGGGCACCTCAGGCATGGACAGACGTTTACCAACAAGGACAGTGGTGGACCAGATGACAAAGGAAGAAGTTCTACAAAAAAGCGAGAAAGATTCCCGAACCGATCCTCGTGAAGCACCACCAAACAATCATGAAAACGGTAACCCGCGCGACACTCATACGACAGGTAAGGGCCTCTCGGAAGGGGGAGACTCCAATAAGGTTTCGGAGGGTCTCACAGAAGGTTCCGAAGAGAAGAATGATGCCAATGGTTCTGCTGCCTCACCACATGCAGTAAACACACCTGGCGCTGAGAGCGCTGCTGACGATCACCGAAATGGAGAGCCTTCTGAGAGTACTCCTCAGGCTGCAGTCGAACAAAGTGGTGCCGTGCAATCGCAGGCATCTCCCACCTCTACTTCCAGGAGTGCCACGGAAGCCACAGGCAGCAGCCAGCCGAGCAGCAGTCCGTCAACCGACAAGGGCCAAGACACAAAGACGGCGGACAGCAGCGTAAGTCCTGTGTGGGTGCATGCACCGCTGCTTCTGCTGGCGTTGTTTGCAGTGGCGGCTGTGTGATGAGCATCGTGGCCAAGTAACATGCCTCCTCGCTCTCTCTCTGTGTGTGTGTGCTGTGAACTCATGGTGGATGTATTTATCCCTTCTCTTCCTAATGATTGCTTGGGGCTCAACTGCTGCCCCTTTGTGTGGTTGTTTTTTTTTGTCACTCTCTCTCTCTCTCTCTGTGTGTGTGGCATCCTCGTGGTGTGGGGTGGAGGGTGCGTTAATCCTAATTGCTTTTCATTTCTGCCTGCATGTGCTCGTGGAGTACGATAACCCTTTTATTCTGTGTGTGTGTGTGTGCGAGTATATCCACACTGCAGTAGCAGGATGTCTGCATGCACTTTGATTGGGTGCCGATTCTTTATTAAGAGACTTGCTTTGTGGAGAAGATTTGTGTTGGGCGCATGTGTGCTGCGGCTCTTTAATTCCCTTCGGTGTGTTTCCCTTGCCGCCCACTCACTTGTGTGTGTGTGTGTGTGAATGGTTCTGCGGTGCTTGATGGGCTTGTTGTGTGATGCCTGCAGCTGTGTGTTGGGTGTGGGGCAGGGACACACATTCGGGGGGCTGATACATCTGGTTTTCTTCTTGTTGCTTTGCTGTTGGGGAGTGCTCCTGTGGGCACAACACACCACAACGGGCATACCTCTTTCTATCAGATTTAAGGAGATTGTTTCTGATTTTTGTCTTGGTTGTTTCAATGTGCGGAGGTCTTGCTGCTGTATATGGGATGCCTGTGTGTCGCTACTTCTGCTGATTGTCTACATCTGTTTTTTTTTTCGATTTCTGCAGACCAAGACTATGATGAAGAAAACAAGGTGTTCACTGTTTGTGTTTGTCCTGTGCGTGGCGTGCCCCTGCTTCTGTGCTGTGATGGATGGGCCAAGACGTGTGGAGCTGCGCAATGTAGGTGGCTACGCGGCAAAGGCTGCAGAGGACGCTCTACCGGAGCCTGAAGCTGCCGGTTGTGATCCTGACAAGACTTCACCTGGTGAACCGTGCCCTTCTGCTAGTGGAAAAGATGAGGAGGCTGGCACCGGTGGTTGTACGGTAGAGGATAATCCCTCTACCTGCAAGGCTCCGAAGGTAACTGGGCGGTGCAGTAAAGAAGTGAATGAGGGTTGCGGAGACCCCGTGGATATTCCCCAAGTGGAGCCTTGCACAACAAGTGAGAGCAAAACGTGCAATACTACTTTGGTTCTCAAGCCTGGAGGCGCTGCTGTTTCCACAGTTGTTGACGTGTCTGACCTTAAGAGAGTTGGTGATGGTAATAATCAGTGCCCGCAAGGGAAAACTAAAGAGGATGGGTCGTGTGTAGATGCTGCTGCTCAACCTGCGCAGAAGGCGACGATGGAACAAGTTGAATTAAGTGACCCTGGATCTCCTAATGGAGACGGGCCAAAAGGTCCTTCGGGGAGCAAAGGCGAACGTGGTGTGAACAACGGCGTACACGATCACTGTGATTCCACTAACTCTAAGAATTGCTCGCAACCACCGGATATGATTCGGCAGGAGAGGTCTGACACTCAACCTCCACACCAGTCGCCGCGTGAGACCGGGCAAGTTCAGACAGTTAGAAGAAACATGAACAGCGGTAATACAAACGAGGGCGCTAACAGTAACGAAGCTGAGCATCAGGACACTGGCCCGGGCACTCGGGGCATCGGTGGCACCNCAGCGGTAATACAAACGAGGGCGCTAACAGTAACGAAGCTGAGCATCAGGACACTGGCCCGGGCACTCGGGGCATCGGTGGCACCACACAGAATAAATTGCAGGAAGAAATGAAGAAGGAGTCCAAAGACCGTTCGGACACCAACAATGTCCAAGACGGGTCGAGGAGTGAAATGAGTGGTAGCTCCTCAAGCACCAACATGGAGGGAACGAGTTCTGACGCTCTGACACTCGCGCAGCCCAATCCCGAAGCTGACATTGCTGCGAAAGACCACAACAATGAAGATCGTATTCTGGGCTCCGCTCCTCAAGTCGCAGATGTACAAAATGATTCCATGAATACACATGAATCTCCTGCCATTGCCTCCACGAGTGTCCCAGAGGCCACAAACAACAATCCAAGCGATACTCCAGGTGCACAAACGGCCAGGGAAACGAAGAATGCGGACAGCAGCGTCAGTCCTGTGTGGGTGCATGCACCGCTGCTTCTGCTGACGTTTCTAGCAGTGGCGGCTGTGTGATGAGCATCGTGGAGAAGTAACATGCCTCCTCCCTCTCTCTGTGTGTGCTGCGAGCTCATGGTGGATGTATTTATCCCCCTTCTCTTCCTAATGATTGCTTGGGGCTCAACTGCTGCCCCTTTGTGTGGTT